TAAAGTCAGTACACTCGGTACCTGCTGCTTGAAGGTGCTTAATAAATACTTGCTGAACAAGCAAATGAATTGATGAATATGTTTCCTTACTGAGAACTTGTCTTAGCCTGAAGTTCTGATGAAGCAAATTCTTCTTGGGAAACCGAGTTACCTTGCATTTGTAATGCTACATCTGCATGTGGATGTCGTCTAATATTCTGACTTTGACAAGCAGTGATTTTGTGATTTTATTTAAAATAATTATGTATGTAGGAATGTATGGAATTTAGGCAAAGAAAAGCTTACCTGGGGAGCTGTTCTGTTTTGAACTCTGTTTTGACTTTGTGGGTTATTTCTTTATTTGGCAAGATGAACTGTCCAGAGAAAACACCATTTGCTTAGGAAAAGTGGGTTGGTTGCACTTGTCTTCTGAGTGTGACTGTGACCTCAGATTTCTGGAAAAACCAAGGGAATTCAAACGTTAAAGATGTAAAGTGAAGTTATTTCACCTTTGACGACGTCCAGGACACGTTCATTAAGATTCCTAACTCTGATAACTTTCTCCATGAAGCACTGGCCGCTCTGCCTCTGGGAGCAGGGTTTGCACATTGATCATGATGCTCAGCGGAATGTCACGTGGGTAAAATATTTGGTAAACATCATCTGCTGACCTCAGAGGTAGGGATAACATCACAGTCACTGGTCGTAAATCAGATGTGTTGTTTTCCTTTGAACTCATTTAATGTTTACAGTACTCACTATGGGCAAAGTAATTCACTTTTTACATGATTTACTGAGTACCTTCCATGCGCCAGAAGCCGTGTTGTGTACCTCGGGACAGACAGGGTAAATGAGATGCAGCCTTTGCACATGTGCTGTAAGATAGACGCTGGATCTGTCGAGGGGAGCAGAGAAGACGTCTTGAAACAAGTAGCATCTGATCTGCACACGGTTTCAGTAGACAGACTGTGTTAACGGGACTTTCTCCGCTTACACAGCGCAGAGATGTGCTCTCTCGGGCTCCCTCGCTCACTGAGGAAGCAGGAAGGGCAGGGGAGCAGTCTCTGCCGCCACCCAGCAGGCCGCGTGGAGAATCAGACACCACCCTTTCTTGTCCCCTCGTCTCCTGATCTGCACTTTGGTCACTAAGCTCGCCTCTGTCTTTGCCTCCACAGCAAAGGCAAAGGGTCTGTGTATCGCCATCTCACTCCTCCAGCTGAGGAACAAAACAGATCCAGAGACAGAGAAGCATGGAATAGACTGAGGAACCTCAGAGGGAAAGGGCTGGGGAAGAGATTAACCAAAGAACTTGAATCATGGCCCATGGACACAGACAATAGTGTGGTGAAGGTGGTGGGGAGGGGCGGAGGAGGATGGGACACCTGTTATATTTGCAATGATAAAAAGAAATTTTAAAAAATAGAGTCTGGCTTGGCAAGCCTCTATTCATCGGTAAGCTGCCTGCTGCACAAGGCGCATACCAGCCACCTCGCAGGCTGCCTGCCAGCCCCCGGATACGTGTGTTTGGCTTAGGGTCTCATTCCTGCTGTCAGTCCATTGTGTCTGGGGAGACGGGGTCACATGGTACGGAGCAGAGCTTCTGGAATGGCAGCGTGTCTTTGAATCATCGGGGACCTTGTGAAATGGCAGCTGATTCAGTAGGTCTCGGCGTGACATGAAGTCTTGGTTTGCAACAAGCTCCCAGGTGCTGCTCCTCTGAGCACAGGCAGAGAAGTGAGGTGAGAGCGTGGTGACCCCGTGTGACTGCAGTTACCCGGAGGGCAGGCTCTCTGTGGAGGTGTGTGCTTGTGAGAGGGCACTGCCTGTGCAAGAATAGGTGTCAGTAAATGAATGAGGAGGATGTCTCTGTGTGAGTTAGGCAAGGCTGCTTTCCAGTAGAGTAAAGGCCAGAACGAATAAGGCATCCTCAGACCAAAAAGTCAGTGTTTAGAGCATTCGGGTGCAGTCTGAAGAATTAGGCTGTTGGGGTTGGCTGTTCGCCCTTTTACTGTTTCATCCAAAGCAAAGCAAAGCAATAGCTACTTTCGTGTTTTCAGCGAGAGGCAGGATTCATCTCTACTTGAGAGCTTGATGCAAGACTCCTTCCACAGTTGGCTGCCAAGTCTGTGTTGATAGGAGGCGTGGCAGCGGGATCCGCAGTAGGATGTGGCTGTTCAGTATGAGAAATGGATAGGAGTCCCTCGTATTGACGCCCAAAGGCAGATGTATTATTCTGGTCCCTTAGGAGAATCCCTCCTCATGGTCTTCATGAGAGAGCTCAGCACGTGGCCCCCGAAATCCTTGAACCATGGTAATGCCTAACATTCATAGAATGGATCCCAGTTTCAAAGCATCGTTACCTTCACCCTTCTGTTCATTTCATAAAGGAAACCTGAGACTGACTGACTAAAACCCAGAGTTATTTTATGTGACGGTGCTAGAGTCCAGTTACTGAGAATTATGAATCATGTCTACGAAAAGGGAACCGAATTAAGTATTTAGATCCTTCTGACATAATGGCAGCTACATGAGGAAAAGCAGAGTCTTCTGACAGCTTCCTCATTTCATTCATTACATTTGAAAATTACACTCATTTAGGCCCCAAGTAATGTCTAGATCTTTTCTTCACAGTTCAGTGACATGGAGGGATGATCACTTCATATTCTTTTATTATCTGGCGTTCACATGCTTTAAATTTGTCTCCTTTAAACCTGACATATTTTCACTTTGATGATCAGTAAAAAGCAAAAAAATGGTTATTTTAAGTGACTGGCTAGTAAAGTCCTTTAAAAAAAAAATCTAAGGATTATCTTAATTTTTATATGAGTAAAATCTTGAAAAAGATTTTTAAAGTTCACCTGATGTTGGTAATCATGTAAAATCCCAACTTACTGGATAGTTTAGTTACATGACCTTCTTTGACTTCTATAATTTGGTTTCCGATCGTCAAAGAAAGAATGCTGTTTCCTTTGAGAAAGTGAGAAGAAAGCTGGCCTTGGAGCCAGGCTGACTTCTTGTTTCAATTTCTTTTTAACACATACCTGCGAGGTTACTCTGGGCAAGTCATTTAATCTCTGTGAGCCTTAGTTTCCTCTGTAAACTTGTGACCATACCTACTTTGCAGAATTATTTTGTTGATGAAACTAAGTAATGTATGTGATGCAGCAGTATAAACATTACCATGTAACAGTTTCAATAGATAAACACGAAGATTTTTTTTTAAATGTAGACAAAATATTATTTTGTTTTTAAGTAAATTAAAAACAAAAGTAATTTTGTTACTTCATATTTGCATGGGAATAGCATTGTCTACTCTTTTTTTAAATATATATATATATATATATATATATATATATATATATATATATATAAATTATTGATTTTTTACAGAAAGGAAGGGAGAGAGACAGCCAGAAAGGTCGATGAGAGAGAAACATCGACCAGCCGCCTCCTGCACACCCCCTACCGGGGATGTGCCCGCAACCAAGGTACATGCTCCTGACCGGAATCGAACCTGGGACCTTTCAGCCCACAGACCGACGCTCTACCGCTGAGCCAAACCGGCTTCGGTGCATTGTCTACTCTTGACATAAGTGAAAACAGCAGTGCTTTTGAGTTATGATTATAATTGCCACTCAATTAATGTATATATTGGAATCAACATTGTAAAAAAAAAAAAAAAAAAAAAAGTAGTTTTCCACAAAGTAAAACTTTGATTGTTTACCAAAAGAAATTCTAACTGATTTTCAAACTGTAGTCAGTAAATTCTCTCATGTGTAGTAATGAATATGCAGAAATTTGGAGAATTATACGTAATCAGTGTTGTCTCAGATATTTTATTAATTAACTATAATCAAACATCAGAAAGTCAACAACTGCCCATATTGTTGTTGTTTTTTACTTTGTTTTTTTAAATAAATTCAAGTTTGTTTATTGAACAGAAATTTCTTTTTTGTGTGTGTTAATTCTCACCAAGTATATTTTTCTATTGATTTTTAGAGAGTGGAAGGGAGGGGAAGAGACACAGAGAGAGAAACATTGATATGAGAGAGACACATCTATTGGTTGCCTCCTGCATGCTTGTTGGCCAAGGCCAGGGGTTGAGCCTGCAATCTAGGTATATGCCCTTGCCCAGGAATTAAATCTGGGACCCTTCAATTCCAAAGGCCAACACTATCCACTGAGCCACATCAGCTAGGGCTTGCCCATGTCTTCTGAGAGTGAAGACCAGAAATATTGGGTAAGAATTAGTTACGCCACTGTCATTCAAAATCAAGGAAGTCAGGTAAGTCTTCCACGTCACGTAGAAGACATACGTTTTCAGTGCATAGACACACACACACACTCTCACATACACCGCCACACAGTGAAAATACAATGATATCTTTCTGATGATTTCCCACCGAACAGGCCACGGAACCACCAAGACTGATACGTTTCAATAGGACCCTTTGTATTATTCTTATAATTAGCCTCCCTTAGATTAATAGCAAAAAAAAAAAAAAAAAAAAAGCTATCCATGATCTCTGGTGTGCTTCATAGCAAATGCAGTGTGTCTGCCAGCGTGTTTTCACTTGATAAGCATCCGGGGCGTTTTGATTTTTATAAAAGTGAATGGAGCCATTGATAAAGAGAGCAAGGGAAATGCGTGGCGACTTGGTTCAAGAGAAAGTGAGTTGAAAGGCACCTCCTGCGTGTGTGGGTGTGGATCAGGCTGCGTTCTGTTTCAGTCTGGGAGGTTTTCGTAAGGCCACGTGGATTTCCAGGACGTGCCCAGTGTTTAACTCCAGTGTCGCCTGCAAACAGCTGAGCCATCCATGCCAAAGCACTGCGTTCCTCCTCCGACAGCAGAACCGGCCGGCACAGGGCCATTGTGGTTTGCGGCTTGGAGAGGGGGAGATCCTGGAAAGCTGGGGACACGATAACCATTTAGCTCATTTCCCTACGCGTCACCGTTCTTAGCCTCTGGACTCTTGCAGGCATTTCTCTACGAGTGCTTAACCCTGCGTTTCTTTACACAGATCCAGTGCCCCGCTTGCCAATTCGTCTGGTGTTTTAAGTGCCACTCTCCTTGGCATGAAGGTGTTAACTGCAAGGAGTACAAGAAAGGAGACAAACTGTTGCGCCACTGGGCCAGCGAGATTGAGCATGGCCAGCGGAACGCCCAGAAGTGTCCAAAGTGCAAGGTGAGAGCTCGCCTGTCGGTGGAAAGGACAGACACTTGCCTGTCACTGGGTAATATTACTACAACGTGGAAGTGAATTGTAGGTATAACTATTATTGCCGGTTAGGAGAAGAAGAATAGGTGCTGTTTCATTTTAGAGAAGCAATGGTATCGCATAACTAAATTGAAAAATTTGGCCCACACTGGTTTGGCTCAGTGGATAGAGCATCCGCCTGCGGACTGAAAGGTCCCAGGTTCGATTCCGGTCAAGGGCATGTACGTTGGTTGTGGGCACATCCCCAGTAGGGGGTGTGCAAGAGGCAGCTGATTGATGATTCTCTTTCATCAATGTTTCTGACGCTCTGTCCCTCTCAATTCCTCTCTGTGAAAAATCAATAAAATATATTTTTTTAAAAATTGAAAATTTTGTATATGAGCAGTGTATATGCTCTTTTTTTTTTTTTTTGCATGACATTTCAAATTTTAGGATGGTCATCCTGTATAATAAAAGACTATTATGTAAAGTGACTGAAATATGCAACGGAATGACTAATCACTATGATGCACACTGACCACCAGGGGCAAACTCTGAAACTTCACAGGAGCTTCCCTCTGCTGGTCAGTGCACTCCCCCACGGGGAGTGCTGCTCCTGCCTCCGCAGCTGCGCTGAGGATGTCTGACTGACAACTTAGGCCTGCTCCCCGTAGGCATAAGCCATCAGTCGAATATATCCCTAGAAGGGAAAGGCAGCCAATTGGAATGACTTTACCAAATGCATTGAAAACTTCCCATGGTTTTAACAACTAGGCAGAATTAAGGAGAAGCATGCGTGCTGGTTCCCTGGTGAGGCAGTGGCTATAAGGCCGGGACTGAAAGGGGATTTCCTTTGACATAGCTGAAAAGAGAGGAGCCAAGCAAGGTGGAATCCGTTTATGGGACCACCTTGTAGCAGAGACTCGACTGTCTGGTGAGATTAAAGTTCCACTGCATTTATGTCCCTTTAAGTCATATTTTATTGCCAGTTTTGAATACTACAAATGGTTTCAGTTTTCTTTTAGGCATATGACTTTGGAAACAATATCAGTACTCCCATGTTTTTTTGTATTGTGGTAAATTCATCTGGTGTTTTTTAATTTATGTTTTGTTTGAAAGCTTGAAATACTTAAACTATGCTGAAGTATATACTCATTACGATTCTTTAAACTGAAGTAATCTATTTTATTGTTTTTGTTTTCAGAAAGTGGTAACCACATATAATTTTATTGTTCTACACATATGTTTTAAAGTATTATTTCTTTAAAACACATTTTTAAGTAAATATTTATTTTAATTTATTGTAAATGTGTAGCAAAACCCCAGCTAGATATTCCTAAAAGGCCTGAAAATTTTATATTTTAGAAGAATAGAAAAATCTAGGTATTACTGTCCAATATAATACTAAACTTTATTAAAGATTAGTTGTGAAGCCTTTAAGAATGTGGAGGGGGGGGTCCTTTGTAAGAATGGTTAGTAATCCAATCTTCTGGTGATTTCTCAAATGGTTTAATATTAGTTCATTAGTGTTACTTGTTGTAACCAGATTTGGGCTCTGATCTATATCATGTTTTCCCTGTATGAAGTTTTAAATTGTTAAAACCCCATTTTTCCAAGGCCAGATTTCTGCCCTCTTGAGTGTATGTGTGTGTGTGTGTGTGTGTGTGTGTGTGTGTGTGTATATATATATATATATATTTTTTTTTTTTTTTTAAACAAATGTACTTCCAAAAGAGTAGCCATATCTTCTGGCCCTTCAACTGATAATTTGACGTAAGCCAGTTTAAAGGAAACAGGAAGTTAAACAATTATATAAAGAAGGCAGTATATAAAAGGAAGCATTGTCTCTTCAAAAATTTATTTCTCAAGTAAATATTGTAACATATTACCATTATTAAACATAGGTAGTGAATCCATATATGTCTATGATAGTTATCTCTAATTTTTTAAGTGTGTGAAATAGTTCTTGATTAGAAATAAATAAAATGTCACAATGGAACAGAAAGCTATCCCATTCTAGCTCTGGGGCTGTTTAAACATCTCTACTTGTCTACACAACCTCTAAGGATTTGACTGTTATTTTTTTTTTCCTTCCGCATGTAAAAGTTAAATGTTGCTCAGAATATGGGCTTATTAAAGCAAAGTTGGTTTAATATTTCTCAAAATGGGTAGCTTTCTTTTTATTTAGAAAATTGAAGGCCAATCCCTCAAATACTTCTTTCCCAATGAGATATTTTTATACAAAGATAAGAGGAATATTTATGCCAACATTTATGTATTGTGGTACAAATATAGTCACAGAACTAGATGGCATGCAGCTGACCACCTTAATTTTCCTCTTATCTAAATAATCCACATCTCAAATTAGGACATTTTCTAAAACAGTGAATAGAGATAAATAATTAGGAAATTATACATTTTGGTAGGCTAATATATAAGTAATGTGCTTTATGAATTAATTAGCAATTGAGTCATTTATTTTATTGCAGTGTCAACATACATATTCCCTATTTTGAGGTAACATTGATTATACTCATGTGATTTATTTTTTTAAAAGAAATGCCAAGATATGAATAGGGAGTGCTGAATTCTGATATGCCATCTTTATTTTATTCATGAAAATGCCTTTGTACAATGCTCTGTGTTCCTTTTTGTTCTTACCACAGTAACAATGATTATCTATAATAATAAAAAAGGGTAATATGCTAATTAGACCAGATGTCCTTCTGAACATTCTTCCGGACAAAGCCGAAGCAGGCGGGGGCTGAGGCAGAGGCAGCAGGGGCCCCCAGCCACAGTGGGCGGGGGCTGGGGCCGGGGCCTAGGCCCTTGCATGAATTTCGTGTATTGAGCCTCTAGTATCTATAACAATACTGTCTGACAAATACTGATAGTTACTACATGTCAGTCTCCATTGTAGTTTTATGCTTATGTGTCCCTTCAAATCCTTAACCCTCTGAGATACTGAGTTCCAGTGTGCCATCTAGATTTTAATTATTCAGCACCTTTTGGTGAAACTCTTAAGATTTTTCACAGTAATGTAGTATATAAGTTATATTTGTTGTCTCATTTAATTCTCAAAAGAAAGTTATGAGGAATGGGTAATTACCCATTTCAGAATGTAGAAACAGTTTCAGAGAGGTTATGTAATTGGAAAGAGCAGTCAGGGGAAAGTGAATTATATTCGTTCATAATTTATTGTGATTTTGGAATTAAGGAAATGTACTTGTCATGCTATTTCCCTTTAGATATTTTATTCTCTTGAATCCTGTAATAGGTTGCTTTGGGCAAGAACGTATTTTCAGAGAGAATGATTAATTTGCCCTGTTCACATAAAATTAGCACAGAAGCCGCACCTGTGGGCCCTTCTATCTGAGCTACGAATGCTGAAGGACTTGGACTGTTAATGTTGGATCTCACAGTCCTGCAGTCCTCTGGTATCACACACGCCACTGCAAAATCACATGCAGGGAGAGGCCCCTGACTGCCTTCAAATAGTGCCCGTTCAGAAAATAAAATAGCTTCTCCTTCAGTACGGATTATGTTGTAACTCTCCAGACTGCTTGAAGTCATTACTTTTGGAGCAGTGTTATCACTGCTATCATTTTCTTGTACCAACGTCTAGACCTTAGTTATGAGAAAAGTCTGATTGTTTGGTGGCAAATACTTTCTAGGATCTAAATGGTATTGCACCCAATGCCCCATCTTTATCACAAACCAGAGGGCCCGTGCATGCAATTCATGCACTGCGGGGGCGGGCGCTTAGCCCAGCCTGCGCCCTCTCGCAGTTTGGGAGCCCTCACGGGATGTCCAATTGCTGGGTTAGGCTCACTCCCCATGGCTGAGCGGTGCTCCTTGTGTGGGAGTGCACTAACCATCTGTGGGCAGCTCCTGCATTGAGTGTCTGCCCCCTGGTGGTCAGTGCATGTCAAAGTGACTGGTTATTCTGCCGTTTGGTTGATTTGCATGTTAGCCTTTTATTATACAGGATAATTTTAATATTTGTTCACTATCCTGAGATTGAATTTATAGAGGGATATCTTATTCATCTTGGGGAATCCAGGTGGGTGGTTAAGGATTATTGGGTGGATTCTGGCCTGGTGGATGGTATCCAAGAGTGAAACTATTACAATCGGAGGTACAAGGGCTCAGAGCCAGGAAATGTAGGCTGTGAACAAAGAGTCACACGTACTTTGTGGTTCCCTTAGCGTAAGGTTCACAGGAGGAAGTGGTGAAAGGTGGGGCTATAGAAACAAACAGAGGCCTGGGCTTTGCATGCAATATTAAGAAACGTGTATTTCATACTCCAGGTGGAAAGTTGTAAGGAGGGGAATGGCGATATCAGATATATATGTTATGTTGGATGTTGTTGATTATATGAAGGTAGCTGTAGACATGTAGGAGGAAATGATGATGACAGTATGAGCTAAGTAAGCTAGTGATCAAACAGCTGGAGAAGAGGAGGAGTAGATAAGTATCTTAGGCCTAAAACTACCTGACCTTGATGATTAGTTGGAAGTGGGAAGTAAAAAGAGTGTACCTAGCTGAAGCCGGTTTGGCTCAGTGGATAGAGCGTCGGCCTGCGGACTGAAGTGTCCCAGGTTCGATTCAGGTCAAGGGCATGTACCTTAGTTGTGGGCACATCCCAGGTGGGGGGTGTGCAGGAGGCAGCTGATCGACTTTTCTCTCTGCCCCTCTTCCTTCATCTCTGTAAAAAAATCAATAAACATATATATTTTTTAAAAAGAGTGTACCTACCACATATATAGCTTGAGTGTCTAAGTGGATGGTGATACCATAACCTGTGATAAAATATGGAGATGGACCTCGTTTTATTTTGTTTTTATTGTTGGATCAGAGGGCCATGATATTTGCTTTTTCTTATTTGACTTGGAAATGGCTTTAAGGCACATAAGTATGTATTACCAGCCAACAGGTGCTTCATGAGCCCGCAGCTCAGGAGTCAGTCCACAGTGGAAGTTAAAAAA